GCACATGAAGAGTCAATGTAGGGGGAAAGTGAATGTACTTAGATACTATGCTACAGGGATACATCGATAGGCCAGTAGATCTCTACACGGATCAATCGATATGCCACCATATTTTCTACATGAATGTATTGTAAGGCCTCTTCGTTTCTGTACAATGATTCAGTTGCAGGGCCTCTTCATTTCTGTACAGTGACACAGCTTCCAAACTTCAAATTTGCCTGGTATCATCGGAATCAATCGAAACTCCACTTAGGCGTAGTCTGCATTGCCGTCAAACCTCCTCACCACTTCCAAAATGCTTGCTGCGTCATAGTTAGCATCAGGAGGAAAGCCAGTAATAATCAAAATCATCCTGTTCCTACCGTCTTTGGCTGCCCTGGGCTCTGCACCAAAGAATACGACATGATGCTCCGTCAATAAGCAGTTTGAAACAGCACTTAACAGCTTTTGATTTTGGATTCGTACACATGGAATTGAAATGATCCAAAACGAAACTCGCACGCATCCTGCTTGTACATTCAAAACTCGGTTTCGCTACAGCACTCCGATTGAACATCTATGTTCTTCCCAAAATTTTGCTTTGCATCCTATACAAACATTGACGCCTCCATGAAATAATTTCATTTCAAACCGGCACCATTCTGATACCACTCCAACATTCATCCTGTGCTTCGAAGGTGACCTTAAAAAACAAGGTGGAATTCCCGTTTATGTGAGCAGCTGCTTGTACGTCGAAGACCTCCAATACTTTGAAAAACAAATCACAAAAACAAAGATACTATTCGTGCAGTTTTGAACTATTGAAATCATTTACACTGGATCCAACTCGATTCAGCAATGAACGAATGGAATTCTAAAAGCCACTGTCCTCATCGCTCACAGCAGCCACTTGAACTGTAGCTCTCCCTAACAGATACACTTCCTCTCGGGTCGGAAGTTTGAATTGGACCAAAGCCTACATCTCGTACGCCATGCTTCCTTCTCGACTTTCACCTTGTTTGTCCATTGAACATCGAACTGTTCGTGAGACATGACCGCACACACAGCAAGGCGCACAAGGAGTTGTTGGCAGGAGCCTTCCGAACTTTCAAAGGATTCACAAAAGAATTGGGAACCCACCTGAGAAAAACTGCTCAGGTCGGCGATTCGACTCATACACCAGCTCAGTTAGTAGATTTGTCAGGCTGATGTCCCTGTGGAGCTGGATCCTCAGTGTACTCTGCAATCACGATGCCAACAATTGGATTAGCACTACTGGTGCCCGACATCCTATTCGGAAGCTCTCTATCGATGCTCCAAGGAGCATGCTCCTGGATCATCATAGGAGCTTGACTTCATGCTGGGATAGCGTCATCTGAACAAGACTGACACTCTGCTAGGATCGCATCAGGTGAACAAGACCGACTACATACCCGCTCGTGCGGAAGCTCTGGGACTGGTTGTTGACGATATGACGGGCCGAAAACCTGTGATGGGGAGGAGAGGGGACACGTCAATACAAGACAAGAAAGACTTCGACAGCGACAGAAACATGGGCACACACGAAATTGTGGCATTCGCAATTCTACTGCTCAAAGCTGGAAATACTGCAGGACGCTGGAGCGATTCAGGACGATGAAGAGCTGTGTCTCCTTACATGACGCAGATAGCCCCTCCTAGGAGCTGGTGGTGGTGCGTGAGCCATGATAGAGGAGCCCGGAGTTGCGTGAAAGCGCTAGGAGGTTTAGAAAACAATCACTCACTGGCGGGCACTTTACCAATACTACAGGACAAGTGTATCTGTGTGAGTTGCGTGGAGCTGCGTGAAAGCGCTTGGAGGTTTAGGAAACAATCACTAACTGACGGGCACTATATCAACACTACCAGACAAGAGTATCTGTGTTACCCGAACGTAATGTATTTCATGACTGTCTGGGAGGACGAGTGATTGAACGAACCCGACTTTGTTTCTTTCCTCCCCCGGCGCATTGCAGACGCGGTCCAGACAAAGCGTTAATGAAAAACAAAAAACAAATTACAAAAAAAAAAAAAAAAAAAAAAGAAAAAAGGCAGAATTATTATACGACACGACGTTACGCTTGATCTCGATGTTTCATCGGCAAGCCGGCGGGGCCCCGAAAGCTGCATGAACGGTACTCGCAGCGGACCCGGAAAGAAGCTGCGACGGCAACCACCGAATCGCGACTCTGTGATACGCCCTCAAGCCGCGTCTGCAGCCCGAGCCTGAGGGGGCGTTGGATCCCCGAAGGTCGTGCTTGCCGAGATCCAGCAACGTGGTGGACGTTGCCTAATCGTAACTCATACGACACACCCTAGCCCGCCCAGTTGCGCTACGCTGGTCACAGATTTTGGGTATCAGCGTCTTCCAGCCTGGGAACCAACCTCCACCGACTGCTTTGGGAAACGCGGCAGTCGGTGAGAGTGTCTGCAGCTAGTGTCGGCTCTAGCTGCAGACATCAGACATGAGACAACGATCGCAGCTCGCGCATCGCGTTCCGGGTTCGGCTGCATGGTGTGGGTCGGCCATGCATCGACGTCGTCGCCGCGGTGGCGAGCTCTGGTCGATGTCGCGCCGGATGGGATGACGATAGCGTGGCGACCGTTTCCAACGCCGCATCGCCCTCGGCAAGATCGGGAACTCTTGGACTGTGGCTATTGCAGACTGTCATGGAGCTTCGATGCTTTACACTGGCTAAGGGTCGGAGTACTAGACAAGGTGTTAAAGTTTGGTACATTGAACCCCCCAGCAAATGGAAACTCTTACGGTTTGAAACTTTCACCTTGTTTGTTTGCTTTTGACATATATATAAATTAAAAAGTATTGTGTTTTTTTGTGTTATGGACATTATCAATACTAATAATTATTTAAATAAGAAGAATTAAGAAGAAGTAAATAAAACTTAATAAATTTGATAATATCTTATGAAGAAGTTTTTTAGAAGCTTCATAGATATAGAATTGTTTTTATATATCTTTATAGGTGATTGGTAGGTTAAAAACTTGGCCAACAAGTTGGCCATGTGGTGCACAAATAAGAAACTTATCTTACAAGTTAAACATACATTGAAGATCTTATAAAACATTGTCATGTAGATCTTAATTTTTCAATATTTATAGAAATAAGAGTGAGCTCTTCTTCACTCTTGTCAATGCTTTTGTTGGTTTTAGTCATATTTCAAGAGTTTATAGTCTTTTTATCTTTAATAATAGCCATTTTAGTTTTAGTAATATGTTATTTTTGATTAATTATCTATTCTTTTTTAATGACAAAAGAATATATTAATTCTTTGGTTGCTTGTAATTCTTATTCTTGAAAGCTTGAGAATGGTGCTGATTCACTATTCTTATTTTGTTTTAGAATTAAGTGAATTACTCTACTTCTTCTGTTGTGCTTTAAAAGTTGCAAACTATCCACCATTAAACTAACATCTTTAATTATCTAATATTTTTTCTTTCCTTTAAAAAAATAGACTATCCATCTTTGTGGAAATTTTTATTTGATATTAAAACTTGTAGTTCACCCTCTTCTAATTTGACTTTAGATTTTTTAAAGTTTTTTGTTATAGAAATAAAAGAAAAGAATATAGATGCTATACTTAGAAAAAATGATAATATATTTACAACTATTTTAAATATTCACGAGCATGTCAATACTCTTATGGTAGAAATTTTATATATCATTAATAACAACCATAGAAGTATTATTTCTACACCTATGGAAGAAGACAACTATGAGATTTAATATCTATGCCAAGAAGTTGTGCACTTGAGAGGAGCAATTAGATCAAATTTACAATTGGATCGAAGAAGTTTTTTATTATAAGTATGGAAGAAGCAATGATTAATATGTCAAAGAATTTTTATAGAATAAGATTAAAATTTTAAAGATTCTTATAATAAGTCAAACTCTATTTAAGATTATATTTAAGATTACAAATTCTTTATCTTAATATTAGCTTTGTATATTTTTTCAACCATTATTATATTGTTTCTAAAGTTTCACACTTTACAATTACTTTTGATGTAAGTAGGCTAAAAGCATAGTACTATAAAATTGAATTATATTACATTACTTTTTTTTTAGTTATACTTTGATAAAATAAAATAAAAAATAATTAATTCAATTACTTATTCATAAAGATTTTTTTTAGAAGATAAATATAGATATTCTTTCAAAGCATTGTTCTTATGATTGTTCAATTAATCTTCAAGAAAGAACTTGATTTCTATTTAGATCAATTTATAGCTTATTACAAAACAAGTTGGTTATATTCAAGGAGTATATTGATGAAAATTTTGCCAAAGATTTCATTTTCTATTCAAAATTTTAAATAGAAGTTCATATTTTTTTTAGGAAAAAAAAAAAAAAAAACAAAAAAACAAAAAAAAAAAAACTACAAATGCATTAAGTATAAGTATCTTCTATTTTTGATGCCAAGAATTTTTTTATCTATTAAATCAAGCCAAGTTCTATATAAAAATATATCTACAAAGAATGTACAATTCAATATATATTTAAAAAATAAAAATAAAAAATAATAGACTATGTTTTAAATTTAAAATATATATTTTAAATATAATATCATGTCTTTAAGACTTACAAGTATATTAGCTACTTTTAAAATCTAATTGATAATATTTTTCAATAATTTTTAGATAATTTTTTTATCTATTATCTAAATATTTTAATTTATTCTAAGAATATTAAAGTATATAAATTTTATTTTTATCATATATTACAAAAATTTAAAGATGTAAGATTATATGTCAAGATAAAAAGTGTGTAATTTGTACTACTCATGTTGACTTTTTAAAATATATCATTTCAAATGATGGACTTATAATGAATCTTTAAAAAAATTATATTATCATAGATTAGAAGATTACAAGAATAGTAAGAGATATCTAATATTTTTTTGAGATTTATCAATTACTATTGGATCTTTATCAAGAATTTTTCTTAAGTTATAATTCTACTTATATGTTTTATTTGTAAAAATATACTTGAGTGAAATAAAGAAGTAGAAGCAATATTTGAAGTTTTAAAGATATATTTTATTACAACTCTAATTTTGTATTAGATTGGTTTTTTTAAGCCAATTTTTACAGAAAAAAATGCATCAAACTTTATCTTATATGTGATATTGTCATGAATGGAAGTAGATTAAAAACTTCATGCAATACCTCTTCATTTGAAAAAAAAATCAACAACAAAGATCAACTACAAGATCTGTAATAAAGAACTTCTTGCAGTAATAGATTTATTTTAAGAACGGCACTATTATTTAGAAGATACTTCAAGTCTAGTGATTGTTTATATAGATTACAAGAACCTCAAGTATTTCATATTCATACAAAATTTAAATTATCACCAAGCTTATTGGAGCATGACTTTATTAAGATTTGAATTCAAGATCATATATTAATTAAAAAAATAGCAAAGTTTGTTAAATGAACTTTTTAGGCATTCTTATCTTATACCAAAAAAAAGAAATATAACTTTTAATCAATAACAAATAATTCTCTTAAAGCCAAAGTAATTTTATCTTTAAGCAATGAAATCAACATTGACTATTGTTTATTTTTTTTAATCAAGTTTAATTAAGTATGTTCTTAGATCTTCTTATTTTTTATATGAAAAATAATCCTTTTAAATCTCATTATAGTTATAAGTTGGAATTCTCAAATAATATTTTCTATTTTGAGGGATGCTTATATATTCTAGAAGATAAAGCATAATTTTGTAATCTTTAAGTTTATCAAAATTTATTTCTATATGATATTTTGGATATAAAAATATCATAGAATTAATATCAAGAATTTTTTGGTGGCCTTAAATTTATAAATAAATTTAAAAATTTATAAAAAAAGTGATTTTTTTTCAAGATCAAATATTCCTTATCATCAATCTTTTAAACTTCATCAATTATTACATATATCAAAAAAAAC